CTATATACGATTAAAAATACATTTCATTACAAAATAAATCATTAGAACAAGAAATAAGTTCAAAGGTCACCCCCACACAAATCCCAAACCAACCTTATTAATGGCCTTGCTGATCTCCGACTGGATGGTGTTCCAGCGCTGGTGAGAATTGCTACACTGCGACATCACCTTCTCCAGACTCTCTCGCAGCGACTGTTCGGGAATGAGAGTGAGGACTTTGCCCCACTGGTCGGGTGTGCCCAAGAGGTCCTGGTCCTCGAGAATCAGCTCCTCAAAGTATTTTTTGGCTATTCCTTCGGCACGTCTATGAACGAAGGACGGTGGAAAGTTTAAAGTTATAGGTTTTATTCCAATGGTTGGGTTTCGAAATATAGTTTTTTAATTGAGAAGTTTAAGGTCCGATATTACTAGCATTTTTCCATAGCCAAAATTCATTAATAATCAATAAAACCTAGGAAGTTAATTGTAAAATCTATACACACTTTTCAAAATAAAAAGGGCCATAATATACAAGACGACCTTAATGAATTCATATTCATTAATAAAAACTACAAACCTAATCAAAGTTACCCTGAACAAAATCTCCAGCAAAGCTTACTTGATAGACGGATGAACTTTCTGTGTGATGTTGACCTTCTTGCTCTGACTATCTCCGCCACGGATGAGCTGCAGGTACTCTGCCACGGCCGAGCGCTGCGGCTGCGACAACGCCCTTGCACTGGCATCAGAGACCCAGCAATGGACGCCACGACGGCCAGAATAGACCCACAAGAGGTGCTGGTATCCAAAGTCCTCTGGAATGAGTAGTAAGAAATAAAGGAATATGAGATTAATTACATTAATTAATAAAAATGAGAGATAATAAGAAATGAGAATATGGATATGAAATGAGAAAAAGGGAAAATAAACATGCTCCATTTCAGGATCTGTAGCAAAGAGACATTCATAAAGTAACTAAATGACAAATTTAAAGTATATTTGAAGTTTACACAGCAAGCAAGCAAGTCACTGAGAGATTCTAAGAATTTCTCAAGGTCCTTTTATTAAAGCAAAAATCAAAAGCAATAAGCAACTTGCTTTATACAAGAATTGATTTGCAAATCCTAAATTTAAAAAAATCGACAATTCAAATAAAAATTAAAGCCTCATATTGGGTAGAATTGATGAATGAAAAATATTCTCCACCAAAATTGACTAAACAAGCAGGCCTACACACACCTCTGAGTGCGGCATCCAAAATCTTGACAGCCACTGTCATAAACTTCCAACATTTGTGACAGATATCAGCCCCTGAGCAGCATGTTCTCACCTGCAAGTGAAGGTCAGTAATGATATTTATAATGATGGGGATCTTTGACTAATAAAATTCATAATGAAGGTGATCTCTCTATCAGATGCAAAAAGGACAAGATTGCTTTGTTTCAGGACCAAACAAAACCTTTTAACTTTTGAAATCAATAGTGTTAATAGTGGTATAATAATAATAACAAAAAACTTTTAAAACAACATATCTTCTAGTTTGCAAATGAGAAAGCGAGGGAGAGGGAGGGAGAGGGAGGGAGAAGGAGAGGGAGATAGGGAGAGGGAGACAGGAAGAGGGGGAGGGAGGGAGGGAAGGAGGGAGGGAAGGAGGGAGGGAAGAAGGGGGGGGAGGGAGGGAGGGAGGGAGGGAGGGAGGGAGGGAGAGAAAGAGAGAGAGAGAGAGAGAGAGAGAGAGAGAGAGAGAGAGAGAGAGAGAGAGAGAGAGAGAGAGAGAGAGAGAGAGAACAAGAGAAAAAAGTAGAAAGCTGAAAAAAGAGAGTGAGAAATATATAGCTACTAATACTAATACTTGAAATAAATCAGCAAATCAGCAAAGAAAAAATAACAAACTTACCTCATCATAATCTGTCATATCAATATCAAACACAAGCTCCTTTTCGAGTGGTGTAAACACTGATACAGTGCGGTGTTCTTTGGGTCTGAAAAGACAGAGTCAGATGTAAAATTTATCTCTTAATTCTACACTGATAACATAAAGGAATGTCCTAAAAACTATCATTTTACTATATTGCCAGTACATAATTCATGACACTACACAGTGCTATAGATTCCCTTCCACTTCCATGTTAAGGACTAAGCTTTGCCAATGCATGAATCACCAGTTTTGACTCTTGTATCCTTACACACAGCAATACAAGATTATGAATTACTGGGTTATGTGTTGCTGATACCGGTCAAAACTGGTGGTTCACACACTAGCAAGTGGAGGAGAATTTGCACTTATTATTATCATTAATTGATTATAATCTTACATAGTTTTGTGTGTGTTATTATAACCATCAAGGACAAGGAAAATTTTTAATTCCATATTATAAATGTGAAATCCTGTAAGGGTTTTAGAAGGAATGTTAATTACTACACATCTACAAGAGTAAAGCAATCACTACTCAACTTTGGAAAAGGGTGTTTTCAGGGACAATAACAGCAGAATTTGGAGTTAGCATTTAGGACTATCCTATATTAGAGTGAGAAATCATTACTTTATCTAATTTTTCACCCTTTATACATCTCTATAATCTTTTCATTTAACTATTCTCCTTTAAGGTAATGGAATCCTGCTGAAATTGTGAACAAATGAAATTATAAGCTTATAGGATCTCACTAGTAATATCAACACTGTCCTTGTAGGCCACGCAGTTCTCTCATATCATCCATATCTCATCTGCTAGACTCAATTTAAGCTCGACTTCTAAACCTCTTCAATCTTACTACAATGGGAATAAATGCCTTAACTATGGAGGTACTGAAAGATATTAACAGAACAGAAATTAACAGTGGCAGAAACAGGAATCCTAATGCAAATGCTTAATAAACAGTTCATTAACTAAGTGCCTCAAATTACGCATACCACTAATACCACTGACAGGTGTACAGTATATATATAATTGAATATAAATCTTGGACATTATTATTACAGGTTGAAATCTTCAATGACCCAATTTAAACATGACATTTTGGCACTTTTTAAAAAAGCTTTTACTGTACATATGACATTACCCACATGGTAAAAGGTATACAGAACTGATATCTCAACATGGTCTAGGACAATTTTTCCAAATAACATATTGCAGATTGCAACTAAAAACGTTATTCAGTATCATAAAAACTTCATAATGACAGTGTCAAGTAATCACCAGAGACTTACAACCTTAGCACTCTGGCAAACACAGT